ACTGTGGAAATAAGCTTTCATTTCTAACTGTGAAAACTTTGCAAGTATTTTAACGTCTTTTTGCAGAGATTAAATTAAGCAATTTCTTAGGTCAAAGCTACATTCTAACCAAAGGGTATTTGGGGGAAAATGCTATGCAGGTTGTTTGCCACTCTCCCCCACCCCCGTTTTTGGGGTTTTGTTTTTTGGTTGGTTTTTTTTTTTTTTTTTTTTTGTTAGTCTTTTTTTTCCCAGAACGATACATTTGAGGATCCCTTTGCTTTCCTCTGCATATAGCTGAGGCAAATAAATAGATCAAAGAGCCAAATGCCCTACACCAGCATGCTGCTAGCATCTGGTGCAAAATACCACTGAGCTTCTGCAGTGGAGGGCTGTAGCTTTCCGGATATTTTTACTTTATGCTTGGCAATATAATAGGTTTTTTATTAGAAAGTGTTGCTGGCTACATATTTTAGGATTTTGTATACTACTTCTCCATAGGTAAAACTTGATGATTTCAGAAATTAGCTCCGAATTACCCACCATCTGCCTTAGAAACATTCTGCATATTCTGTTTACTATGTTCTGTTGTAAGGAGCACTGCAAAGCTGCCATGTCGCCTAGTCCTTGCCTTCCAAATGTTCTCAAGTACAGCAGTTCTAATATACTGCAACACACTGCACTTAACAGAGAATAAAATAATACTTCTGTCTTATTCATCATTAGAAAGTATCTTTGATTTACAAGTTTGACAAAAAAAAAAAAAAAAAGAGTGCAATGTTATACCATGGAGAGGTAGCTTTTATGAGAAGATCTAATCTGAAGAAATAAATAAACACTATTAAATGTGTGTACCCTAGCTGAAGCTGCAGTTTTCTTATCTGGGTTGACAATATCACCACAATATAAATATTTTAAGTTATGCATCTTACTTATTAAACCAGTATTTTTAACCTCCTTTTCATTCCTAGACTTTCATTTCCCTGTGTTGTAATAGAAAGTTTTAGTGTCTGAAAATAACAGGAATCTGCAAGGAAAATAATAAAGGAAATTAATCAGGCTGCAAAACAGACTACTCAACATCCAAATCTATTGAGAACCCATATTTCTTTTCCCCTCACTCTCCACCTGTAGAATGAAGACTTTAGGCACTGCCCTGAGAAGCTGTGTGTGGGAGGAAAAGAGACTCTGGGGGAACAAGTTCAAACTTGTCTCCAGGAAATACTACAAAGGACTGGGAGGTTTTAGAGCAGATGTCTGTTTTGTAGGTGACACACAAAGGAGGAGGATTTTTGCTTGCAGAGGAAGAGAGCAAGCTTAATGCAGCGAATTAGAAAGAACAAATAGATGCAGGCTAAGTAAAAGGTGACAGATAAAAGGAAAGGAGCTCAGCTGCTGTCTTCATCCAAGTTACCTCCGTCTAAAGATCTCTTAGAGCCAAGCTCAGAGGTGTCAATAACAAAGAGCATGATTTACTGCATTTTTGTTTTCCTAATTCTGCAAATAAATTGCAGGCGCTCCCCTACAACGGCCAGGCGATGGCTTCCAACCAACTGGCATGCACCAACCCCTGTGAGGCAAAGTGTCCCCAGCCGCTGGCCACCAGCAGCAACGAGCCCTGCGTCGTGGCCTGCGGTGACTCCCGGGTGATTATATACCCGCCACCCGTCGTCGTCACCTTCCCAGGGCCCATCCTCACCACCTACCCACAGCAAACCGTCGTGGGAGCCTCAGAGCCCTCCGAGGTGGCTCTGACAGAGCCCCCCACCGCAGCACCTCTGCCAGCAGAAGCGACAGGGAGGCTGGAGGCAGCAGTTGACAAACTTACCCCCCAGGTCATTGCCCGACCCGAGCCACGGTGTGTCCCAAAATACTCCTACACCTATTCTTCCCAATGGACACATCCATGCAACTCGTACCGCTCCGGGAAACGGTGGACATACTAAACTCAGCCAGAGTGGGCACCGAGCAGTTTAAAGAAGCAGCAAAAGAAACTCAAGATGCAAACTGGGGGTGGAGCTGATAAGCTCCAGCCCCAGTGCTGGGTGTCATCCAGCTCCAGCTGAAAAGAATGAGAGCTGCAAATGCTCAGCACCTGAGAAAGGCAAGCTCATGTGTGCATTTTCTCATTTTGCCTTTAGTTTAGATCTGTTACCTGCTGGCTTCCCAGTTTAGTCATCTGCTTACATTGTGCTTTGTCTTATTTCAGTTATGTTATTGACACTGAACTTAGAAAGGTGACTTAGGATGCTAGAAATTGCACACAGCAACTGCGCCAAAGGAGAAAAAACATTTTTTATAGACTGCATCACTTTAACCCTGGTGATTAGCCAGAGACTCACTGAACCCCTGGAAAGATGGTCTTTATATTCTGTACAATTTTGTTCCAGAATTGTAGAAAAGCTGTCTCTGTCCAAATAAATTTTCTGTACCAAAGTATGTCTTCTGGTTTTCATCACCACATAATCATTTCCTCCTTTTTTTTACATATCATTTGAATTTATAGTGTATTTTTCGTTGGTCACAGGTATTCCATGTTTCTTCTGAGTGTCACAAGAACCCAGGAATACTTTTCTACGCAATTTCATTAAACATGTGTTGAACAGTTGACACTTCTCAGGACCAGTCTGAGTCCCTGGCAGTTGCTGCTTGGAACAGCAGTCCCTGCAAGGGCTCAGGTAATGCTCAGCTCCCAATTTGTCATGTCCGTCTCAGGACAGAGCAACTTTCCAACCCTTTTCCCTAAAACCAAAACAAGACATGAATATCTGGGTGCAGCTGGCAGGGCAGAGATGTGCACAGTCCACACGTGGCCCTCTGACACACTGTGCAGAGCTTCTCAAGGTCACAGGGGGAAGGATGTCCTTGGGCTGCCCACAGATGACAACAATCATCAATGCACTATCACACAGCAGGGTGCATGCTCAATGCAATACCGCGAGCACCATGACTGAAGGCAGGGAACAGGGTGCAGAGCATGAATTAGTGAGAAATACAGCACTAGTTTAGTTTTCATTCCTCTACAGACCTCGCAAAACAGAAAGGGGTATTTCACTTTTCAAAGCTCTCTTTCATAATGAAGCTAATCATATGCTAGTAACTTCCTTCCCTTTCAGTTCAAAAAGCTTTTCTGAGGGAAACTCAGAGCTTCCACAAATGCTTTTACCAAGTGAATTACCATCAAACATTTCACATCATTGCTCAGTTGCAGACGTAATTTCAGCCACAGTGAAGGACAAGTTCAGAATTAAAAAAAAAAAAATGTTCATTCAATGTGGATTCTTTACTGTGGGTGGAAAATGTAACAGACAGCAACAGCAGGAAAGAAACAAAACGACACAGAAACAATGGATTGGAAACACAAAATTGTAAGGCTGCAGCAAGGCACAACCCAGGGCTCCACTCCAGAGATTTTCCCTTCCCATTGCAGGTCGGGAGTCTCAGAGCCGGGCAGAGCTGGGGAGACCCTCACCCAAGGAGGAGTACAGCTTTGTTCTATCGCGGGTAGACGGGAGCTTTTGGAGGCAGTGCTGGAAACCCTAAGGCAGCCACGTGAAGATCTGCAAGGTTCCTCTGTGCAAATAAGCAAGGACTGTAAAGTTCAAGTAGCTGCTTTGCCACAGCCTAAAGAGTGGCTGAAAGTTTTGCCCTGCATCTGGTGGTAGAAGACAAGACGGCTACTTGTGGAGAACGAGGGCAGAGGCAGCACTGCACTCCATGGAGGTTTGGGGATTAGCAGACCCCACAGTTGTCACTGAGGCATCTGTGACCTCGGCACCAGCCACCATATCCATAACCCCCCAAAGCCCCCATAGACCCCATAGCCCACACATGCTCCATAGCCCCCATAGCCTCTGTAGCCCCCATAAAATCCATAACATCTATAGACCAAATAGCCTCCCACAGACTCCATAGACTCCAAAACTGCCACAGAATCCAAAAGTGTTCCATCAAATCGAGAGGTTCCCACAGACCAGACACTGCCAGCAAACTCTGGTCGACAGCACCAGGCTGTGGGGATCTCTTGTCATTCCTGGGCAGAGCTGTGTCCTCAGGCAGTGGGCAGGTGACACAAGGAATGCCAGGAAGACTTTCTGCACCAACAGTGGGGGTACCATGGGACCAAAATTCACCCAGTTGCAGTGGAAGACAAAGAAATAACAGGACGATGAGGTGGTGCACTGGTGCAGTAAAGTGGAGGGGATGGAGTCATGGCAGTTGAGGAGGTACTGGCGGGGAGCTCATCCTATCCTTTCTCGACCCATGCATCCCATGGAACTCTGACCTGGGCCTTTGCCGTTGAGATGGCTCCATTAGCACCCCAATCCCCACAGCCCTGGGGAAGAGGCAGCCCATGCAGAATGGCCGGAGTGGGAGGAAAAATCCCTGTGGGGCTCAGCAGTTCTTCTTGTGTTCTGAGGGCAGGAGGCCAAATTGCGGAGAAGACGGGGAGGTCAAAAAGCAAGAAGCTGTTGCTGAAGGAGGTGAGAACGGCCCCAAGTGCAGGTAACTGTGTGGTGGAGGGATGTGCTGCCAAGGGCAATCAGGAGGAAGCCAGGCAGCTCCAGCATGTGCCCCTGATGAGGCCCTGGGTGGGATCTGGCTGTGATAACCCAGACACAAGTCTGCCACTCGGGATATTGGGTATGTGGGAAGGATGAAGAAAAACCATGGATCAACATTGTAATGCAACACAGCTTTTATTGCGGTTCAAGGAGAAGAGGGAGTTGGGAGAAGAGCAGGGCCCTTGCCAAGGGCAGCCCACATCTCCTGGCAGCAGGCAGAGTGAGTGTGAGCATCAGCCGTGCCGCAGGAGCAGGCACCCAGCATGGGGCTGCGTCGTCAGTTGGCAGCAAGTCCTGAAGTGAAGCTCAAGGGTGACAGGAGGAAGACAGAGTGTGGCCACGAGCAGGCACGAGGCATCCAAGCTCTGGAGCCCAGCAATGCCAAAGAGATGTCCTTCTGTGGGGCATCGTGTCCGGGAAGATCACCTTGGTATGTGGGTGGAGCAGGCGTGGAGTTTAGCAGGGTGAGCAGTTGCCGTTGAGGTATCTGTGGCCTCGGGCCCAGCCGCCAGATCCACAACCTCCAAAGCCACCAAAGCCCCCATACCCTCCATAGCCACCCCAGCCCCCATAGCCCCCATGGCCTCCATAACCACCCCAGCCACCATGGCCTCCAAAACTGCCGCCAAAGCCCGATCCAATGGTCGGGGCTCCAGCTGAGCCAACGGTGCTGTGCTGTGGGAAGGAGCTGAGGATGGGCCCGGGGAAGGTGACCACTGAGGCCGGGGGCTGGATCACCACTGTGGAGTCGGGGCACTGCCGCACGCAGGGCTCGTTGCAGGTGTCAGCCAGAGGGGCAGGGGCGGCCACCCCACAGGACGTGTTGCACAGGCTGGTGCACGACATCTTTCAGGCAGGCAAGGAGTCCTGGAAAAGGCACCAGGGATTAGGCCAGGGTGTGTGTGGGGAAGGGGCTGTATCGAGGCGGTCAGGGAGAGATCCCCAAGAGGATTCCGAGAGCTGGACTTACCCGGTTGATCAGGAGAGTCAAGCAGGGGAAGATAGATAGAGAGCTGCAGAGCCCTCAGCTCTTTTATACCTGTCCCACAGTGCCTGGGGCATCATCCAAGGGGGAGGTGCAGAAACCCCAGGAAATCATGAAAGGACGCGGACAAGCTTCATGACACAGATTGTGATGCGGGATAATTACATACCTACTCATTGGGTACATTGGCTTGCAAACGCATCCTCGATAGAAAAGGGGTGAGGGAGGGTCAGACCATGACACGGCATTACATGAAAGAGAAGGCAGTGCTGTAGTTGACCTGTTTTCACCAATAAACCCCAGTCTGTCCTTAATCCCTCACTTTCCTGCCGTGGAGGAATCCTGGGCATCTTGCAGAAGATTGCTGTGCCCACCCACGCATCACTCAGCAATAGCCCATCCACGTGCCCAGGACCAGCAGTGCCCAGCATGCCTGTGCCTGTGGGGAGTGTGGCCACGTGCGGCCTGGTTCCCTGTGGGTGCTTGGGCAGCATCTCCCGGCACAGTCCTCAGTGCCCAGCTGAGTCACGCAGCCCCTGCAAAGAGGGCTTGGGGAGGATCGTGCTCAAAGTCATGTGGCCAAGGAAGCTGAGAGTGTCCTGGTACCCTTCCTGCACTTCAGCAGTCCCTGAACGTCACCCCTCAGACATTACCATGGCACCTGATCTCACTGCTCCCGGCCCATGTATGCACTGAGCCCCTGCTCGTATGGCTCTTCACCCCACAATGCAAAGGCTGCCCCTGCTCTTTCCATGGCAGTTAATCGGCACAACCCCAATACACCCTGTCAAGTAGGGGCATGGAGGTGGCCAAGGCTTAGAGATGCTCTTGACTTCTTGCACAGAAATGCCTCCAGCCCTCACAGGCACAGGGAGACGGTGAGCATTTGGGAGTCACCCTGAGCGCGTCGAATGGCTTCTCCCTTTGCCCAACACCGCGGTGCCTCTGTTTACCAGCTTGTAAAAGAGAGGTAATGACAGGCGTGATGGCTGCAGAGTGCAAAGCGCTTCTGAAAGATGCTCAGGGTATTGGCACGTGAGCAAACAGGGGGGATTAGGGAGAGATTGGGTATTACTGGCACAGCCTGGTCAGCTGTATCAGCAGAACTCTGTCTTTCATGTAATGGTATGTCATAGGCCATGCCTTCCAGCACCTCTATCCTCTCCATGGTGCATTTGCATGTCAATGGCCCCAGTGAAGAAGCATCTAATTTTTTTACATCATAAATTGTGTCATGAAGCTTGTCCACTTGCTTTTCCTGAGGTTTTTTGCACCACCCCCTTGGCTGATGCCCCAGGCACTGTGGGGCAGGTATAAAAGAGCTGAGGGCTCTGCAGCTCTCTATCCATCTTCCCCTGCTTGACTCTCCTGATCAACCGGGTAAGTCCAGCTCTCAGAAGCCTCTTGGGGATCTCTCCCTGACCGCCTTGATACAGCCCCTTCCCCACACACACCCTGGCCTAATCCCTGGTGCCTTTTCCAGGACTCCTTGCCTGCCTGAAAGATGTCGTGCTCCAGCCTGTGCAACACATCCTGTGGGGTGGCCGCTCCGGCCCCTCTGGCTGACACCTGCAACGAGCCCTGCGTGCGGCAGTGCCCCGACTCCACGGTGGTGATCCAGCCCCCGGCCTCAGTGGTCACCTTCCCCGGGCCCATCCTCAGCTCCTTCCCGCAGCACAGCACCGTTGGCTCGGCAGGAGCCCCCGTCATTGGGTCGGGCTTTGGTGGCAGTTTTGGCGGCCGTGGTGGCTCTGGAGGCTATGGGGGATATGGGGGATATGGGGGCTGGGGTGGCTATGGAGGGTATGGGGGCTGGGGTGGCTTTGGAGGCTGTGGATCTGGCGGCTGGGCCCGAGGCCACAGATACCTCAACGGCAACTGCTCACCCTGCTAAATTCCATACCTGCTCTGGCCACACACCAAGGTGATCTTCCCGGACACGACGCCCCACAGAAGGACTTCTCTTTGGCATTTCTGGACTCCAGAGCTTGGATGCCTCGTGCCTGCTCGTGGCCACACTCTGCCTTCCTCCTGTCACCCTTGAGCTTCACTTCAGGACTTGCTGCCAACTGACGACGCAGCCCCATGCTGGGTGCCCGATCCTGCGGCACGGCTGATGCTCACACTCACTCTGCTTGCTGCCAGGAGATGTGGGCTGCCCTTGGCCAGGGCCCTGCTCTTCTCCCAACTCCCTCTTCCCCTTGAACCGCAATAAAAGCTGTGTTGCATTACAATGTTGATCCATTTTTTTTCTTCATCCTTCCCACATACCCAATATCCCGAGTGGCAGACTTGTGTCTGGGTTATCACAGCCAGATCCCACCCAGGGCCTCATCAGGGGCACCTGCGGGAGCTGCCTGGCTTCCTCCTGCTCGCCCTTGGCAGCACGTCCCTCCACCACACAGTTACCTGCACTTGGGGCCGTTCTCACCTCCTTCAGCAACAGCTTCTTGCTTTTTGACCTCCCCGTCTTCTTCCCAATTTGGCCTTCTGCCCTCTGATCACAGGAAGACCTGTTGAGCCCCACAGGGATTTTTCCTCTCACGCTGGATGTTCCCCATGGGCTGCCTGTAGCCCCAGGGCTGTGAGGATTGGAGTGATAATGGTGCCACCACAATGGCAAAGCCCCAGGTCAGAGCTCCTTGGGAGGCAGTGGGTCCAGAAAGGAGACGGTGAACACCCCCCTAACACCTCCCCAGATGCCTGATTCCATATCCTCCACAATCCTGCACCCCCAAACCACCTCCTTGTTCTGAAATTCCCCTGTCTTCCACTGCACTTGGGGAAGATTTGGTCCCATGGTGCCCCCACTGCTGTTGCAGAAGCTCATCCCAGTGTTCCTTTTTTCCAGCCATCCACTGCCAGAGGACACAGCTCTGCCCCGGAATAATAGGAGAGATCCCCACAGCCTTTTGCTGTGGATCAGATTTTGCTGGAACTTTGATTCCTTTCCTTGCTCTCCAGCACACAAAGTAGACAATACTGGCGCTCCCCGCAAAAGCACCCAGCCATAGGAGCCATGACGGGGACATCAGTAGCATCTTCTACCACTGTGCCCTCAGCAGACACACAGGGGACACCACATGAGCCAGGAACTGGAGGATGGCCAAGAGTCAGTTCAGGGGGCCCTGGTCAAACACGAGGATGGGCAGAGACTGAAACATCCTCGAGGGGAAGAATAGACTTGCAAGCTTCTGTTCAGGCAGTCGAAAACAAGAAGTCCTGCTCTTGCAATGTTGCTGCCTTTTTTTTACCTTGCACTGTGTTCACAGTTGCGGGTGAGACATCCTTTCTTCAGCTCCCCAACAGTGACCAGCGTGCTGCCACCCTGCCCTTCCTGATGGCTCTGCCCGGAGCTGTCTCTGTACAAAACCACCTTGTCATGCTGGGATCACAAGAGCAGAAGATATTGGAAAAGGGAGGGAGCTCAGGAGGGTAAGCACGCCAACCTACTGCTCAAAGAGCATTGTGCTTCGTGTGACTGAGTAACCGTGGCCATTTCATGGCTCTGAAAGGAAACCTTGGAAGACCTGACTGTGTCTATCTCACCCTTTTGCAGTGGCCCCCACCTGCAGCTGGGCACAGGGGCATGGCCAGCAGCCCTGTACATGCAGTGGTCATCTCTCCATTTCCTGGGAGATCCAAATGTGACTGTTAACAAGCCATTGAAAGGGGGTAGTCGGTGGCATGTGGTTTTTGCAGAGGATTTGGAAGAGCTTCTGCTAGACACCAATGGCACTTTCACCGATTTGGCAGGGTCTTTGGGAACATGTTGTGTTCATTCCTAGTGAGAGACCAGAGGAAGCTCAGTGGCACATGCTCTTGCAGGACCCAGCTGGGATTGCCATTGTCCCTTGTAACACATTGAGCAAACTGCTCAAATGCTCCAAGGGCATGACCGTAGGAGACACAAGCAGCCCAGACCGACACATCCTGAGGTTTGGGGGAAGTGGGAAAGAATCAGGAAGGCTGAGGAAAAACCATGGTTCGACACTGTGATGTAATGCACAGCTTTTATTGCAGTCTTAGAGGGTGGAGGGAGCTGGGAGAAGAACAGGGCCCTGGCCAGGGCCTTCCCCTGCTTCCTGGCAGTGAGGAGGGTACAACGAGCATCAGCTGTGCTGCAGGAGCAGGCACCCAGTGCAGGTCTCTGTCACTGAGGAGCAATGAGTCTTGAAGGGATGGTCAAGAGGGACAAGAGGAAAGCAGAATTGGGCCCCAACCATTTACGAGGCATCCAAGCTCTGGAGCGCAGCAATGCTGAAGGGATGTCCTTCTATAAGCATTGTTTTGGGATGTGCCAAGTCCTTTTCCTGAGGTCTACTTCATCTCTCCTTGGAACCAGTGAGGAGCTTAGCAGGAACCGCAGTTGCCACTGAGGTACCTGTTGCCACGGCGCCATCCTCCATATCCACAACCCCCATAGCCTCCGTAGCCCCCATAACCCCCATAGCCTCCATAGCCCCCATAACACCCATAACCTCCATAGCCCCCATAGCCTCCATAGCCACCCCAGCCTCCATGGCCTCCATAGCCACCCCAGCCCCCATAGCCCCCATAGCCCCCATAGCCTCCATAGCCACCACGGCCGCCAAAACTGCCACCAAAGCCCGACGCAATGACGGGGGCTCCTGCCGAGCCAACAACACTCTGCTGTGGGAAGGAGCTGAGGATGGGCCCGGGGAAGGTGACCACTGAGGCCGGGGGCTGGATCACCACCGTGGAGTCGGGGCACTGCCGCACGCAGGGCTCGTTGCAGGTGTCAGCCAGAGGGGCCGGAGCGGCCGCCCCACAGGACGTGTTGCACAGGCTGGTGCACGACATCTTTTGGTTTGGTAAGGCTGCAAGACAAGACAGAGCTACAGCTCAGTGCAAGGCCTGACCCCAAATCCCTCCTGGCTCTCTTGCACTTCAGATCTGTGTCCTGAGACATGCTCAGGACCATCTCAGGCAGTTAGAGCAAAAAAACTTTCCAAGTGTCGAAATGCTGGGTTGGACTCCTTCTTCCCT